TTTTTTTTTTTCGGGAGGGGGGTTGCTTAATTATGTTTTTAATCCTGAAATTGCGAAGAATGTCACAAATATTCTATTGCTAACCCTGGATCACGAATGTCGATGAGTGTGGGACTTTATTGTCTGTTGTTTTGCAACATTCTACTCTCTTTAATTTATGTTGACGACGGTCAGTTTTCTACATGTAGGGCGCATTGAAAGTGACGTGTTTGGTTAGTTATCGTTTCTGAAAGAGAATCAGTTTACCACTAATATGAGGTAACTAATATGAGGTATTTTTGCTGAAAATATTTCTGAAGCTTTGCTAGTTTTTTAAAGACATTTTTTCGGTGGATAAGTCTTATATTTCATATTTCAGTCGTTTCTGAATTCCAGGATTTATATCATTATTAGTAGTATTTTTATTTTCAGTCTTTGTCAACAGCTTCTTTTTGACTCACTCTAATTGTGAGTACTGGAAGGAAGCTTCTTGCAAAACTGTCGTAAATTTAATGAACAAATTATCGCTTTGTTCTGCCTCACCTGCTTGGTTAATCGTTACTCGTTCGCGGCAGAATTTGATGTTTCTCCTTCCTAATGTTGCTTATTTGATGTAAACAAAATATATCCGGTCTGTCAAGTTCTAGTAGGAGAGAGACCAGTCTAATTTTTTTTAGCATCTGAGCTAACGTAATGTATTCTCATTCAGGGAAGCATCTAGTGAAGCTGAAAGAGAAAAAGAGAATGGGATTGACTTTTAGGTATTTTTGCTTATTGCACCGGTTCTAGTTTTTCTTTTTGTTGTTATTGCTGGAATGGAATTATCAACTTTATCTCTTATTAATTATTTTGCTTCTACTTGTTACAATGGTAACCTTATTTGTCAACTTAATCAGGAAAAAAATTAGTGCTAATTCACATTTTTTGAACAAACACATGGTGACGTTTTGTTGGCGATTTGTTGCTTTATTTTTTAGGAGTAGTAATTTTATTTTTAGTCCAAGAAAGGTATTTAATCCAAAGGTTTCACATTAACATTTTGCTGGTCAAGTGTTCTTCAACCTTATCATACCGCCCTCTCCCCCACATTGCTTCTTTTCTCTGCTTCGTCTGGTGCTTTCTTTAATGTAACTTTTTAAAAAATATTATGATCTTCAATGTTTGCTGAATTCTTTCGAAGAGTTTTAGGTCCGACGGCCTGGAAGGCAGTTTAAGGCCATATGTAAATGAGTTAAGGTCCTTCACAAATTTGGGGAGAATAGTTGGCATCTGCAATGGAAACTGCTCCTTCAAAAGCCGGTAAAGACGAATTAAATCCAGAAGTTCAAGAGCAGGTTGTGCCGGAGCCCCATGGTACTTTAAAAAGACATCAGGTAAAATTTTGAAACTTTTCTTCTCTTGAATTTTCATTGAACGAAGTCAGCGGATCATATAAGGGAGCTTTTTCAGCGAGGTATTCCTTGCAAACGTCAAGGTGGCAGGAGTTCTGAGAGTATTAGAAAAGTAGGTAAAGTCCTTGAAGTGTAGTAGTAGGATGATTTGAAAGTTTAAGACAGGCTTCGGAACAGTTAGTTTTGAGAGCATTGGAACTCGGTAATTAAAGGATGAAGACGATTCAAATATAAAAAAAGTCAATGCAAATATTTACTTTACATGATAAATTTTTTGACATTGGTTTATACGGTCGAGAATATTGGACGAAGCAGTTTTGGGTTTGCTAAGACATTGCTGCATTTTACCAGTCTTTGTTTCTTGCAGTAGCAATTAACTTATTTCAATAAAATACCAACAGTGTTTTTGGTATCTCACTTAATGGAGTGGGAAATATATTCAGATGAACGGATAAAGCCAAGTGCATGGTTATCCTAAAGTTTGCGGTTATTAATGTTTTGCTTTATGAAGGACTCGTCATTCAAAAAATGGTGAAGCAGTAAGTAGATTCTGGTAGTGATCATGTAGAGTCTTCTCAGAGAATTGATTTTTTCCTTTTTCTTAAGAAGTACTATGGTTGGCACTGAGTTTGTAAGTAGCAGTAGGATTTAAGAAATAATCGGGTTCAAATTTATTTTGATTGAAAAAATGCACTTGCTTGGTTTTTTAGTTTTATCTTTATTGCTATATTATAGTGCCGTTTGACTGGCTTGGTAGTACAGTAATTTGGTTAAAATTCTTTTTTCTGAGTCAGGGGTCTTTTAAACTATTTTAGATTAGGTTGTGGGAAACTTTCAATATATATGATAAACACAGTTCTGAGTGGTATTGGAGGAGGTTCCCAAATAGGTTATTATAAATTATTTAATTTTAATCTAATCATGGAACTTTGCCGAGGGTACTGTTGCTTTGAAAGGCTTTTTGGTTTTTTACCTCCATTTTTCTTTTGAGTTTTTTGTGTTTTGTTGATTAGATGGTTAGGAGTTTAGTTGTTGTGAAATATTTTACAGATGTTATGTAGCACTGAAAGTTATGGAGATATGGAAGACGTGAAGCTAGATGACACTACTTCACAGAAAGCAGAACCTCTTGGAGGTTTAATTTTTCCTTCAATGCATACAGAATCAAACACATCATCCTTAACGAAGGAAGTCGATGAAGAAGGAAATGCGATAAATGAAAGAACTTTGTCTCAAGTGGTAAAGCGAGTTTTTTCAGATGCTACTGAGAGTTTAAGGGAGGAGTGTTCTTAACTTCATATTTAAAAAAGATGAAGTGGATTTTGAATTGGTACTTCGTTCTATTTTTTGTTTTTGCTATGGATCGTCAGCGATAAGGTTATAGTTAGTAATTAGTCGGTTAAAAGTAAATTTTTTAGGTCTGTATGATTATTTATTGTGCCTTTGTAAAACACTATACTTTTTTCTGCAGGAAGAAACAAGTGAGAAAATGGATTCGGATTTGGAAAAAAAGTTTGTGGCTCTCAAGAGTGATATTTCGGATGGTGCTGCACAGGTTGGTAACACTATAGTTATACACTCCTCAGAGGAAACGCCAGAAGAAACCTTTAAGCGTCTTGCCATTGGACTTGAAAGTGATAAGTTGATGTATAAGGACGTGTTGGACTCGATATTTAATGCGGTGAAAATTATTTTCAAACCTATTTTATTCTATAGCATGAAACAGGGACAGGAAACGGTCTATTATAGTAGTTGAGTTTGTTACGGGTAATTTTTCAGCTAGTTGGTGGTGCATTTGATATAGAGTCAAGATTTATTATCGAAGATCCTGAGAACGTTGTTCGCATGGTGAAACTTTTAGACAATGCATCTGAAAGGCTTCAGGTTCTCGTTTTTTTCACCATAATGGTTTGCTTATTAAAGCCCGAATTTACTTAGTAAAAGGTTTTTAAATAGAAGTTTTAGGCTGAAGTATGGAGTGTATTCGTTGGTGTTGTGCGCAAAAGTAATCGTAATCTTGAAGCTTGTTCACGCGTCGGATTAATTTCCTTAGTCAGTTCTCTTATTTTCAAAAAACGTGGTTTTAGTATTTGGTATATCAGTTGAATCATTTTATGTTTTGGTGTTTATGAGTATTACGCGTTTCTAGGTCCTTGACAGGCTGAACGATAGTGGGAACGTTGTTTCGGATTTGTTGGTGCAGCTGCTTGGCGTACTTACTTCTTATAGCATAAGCGTAAAAGAAACGAAGCATTTCTTAAGGGCTTTGAGAGCAAAAGATGGACGTTGGGTAAGCGGTAGAGGCATACTTTTTAAATTTTGCTGAATAATGGAGTTTAGCTTAAACTTTTAAAAAATGAGAAGAATGCCTCACAGGCTCATTTTTGAATCATTTGGTGACTGGAAGTTAGCGTATTCTTTTTTGATTAGTTCTAGAGCAGGGGCTTTTCTGAAGTCCAGTATTAAGCGGAATTTTAGTTAATTGTTGAAAAATGGACAAAGAAGTATAGGTTCAAAAAGAAGGGAAATTGTCTTCCAAAAATTTAGTAGCATTAACTTCTGTAAGTAAAGGCCTGTTTTGTAAGTTTGTGGAGTTGATCTTGCTTGGCTCAAAATTGCAAAATAGGGAGTTGTTTTATGCGAGAGAGCTTGGTAAACAAAAAAGCGTTGTAATTTGCAAATTGGGTCTGTGGTCCTTGAAGGTTTTGAAAAGGCTGGAACAGCGGCTAAAAAACTGTCAATTTGACGTTGAGTGCAGATCTCTAGTAGATATTTTTTGTTTGAATCTAATCAATTGTGGTGAAAGGTTTTATTACAAAGGATAAGTTTTTAAGGCTTTTATTAAGTTTTTTGACCTTTTTTATTGTATTTGAACTTTTGGTTTGTTTTTACAAAGGGTTCGCTTGAGCAGTTTTAAAATATTCGTGGCTGTTTTGATTTAATCGTTTTTTTCTCTGTCTAAGCATAATTCGTTATTCATCACTGTATGTTATTCAAGCCGAAGAGCAAGTTAACGTGTTTGCATTATTTTTTAATGATAAAATGCTTTTGCCATCAGTGGAAAGTTGCAAACTCGGGACTCTTAAGGAGTCTAAAAGTTTATTTCAGCAGAGGAACTCAACCAAACTTCTTCATGTCTTGGAAGAGATGCCTAAGCGTGATGGGGCAGACGTTTTTTTCTCGTTTCCAGGCACTTCAAAATCGGTTGGTATCTGAACTTACAGACTGCTTCTGTAAAGATATTGATTTTTTTAATTTGATCTGATTACTTCAGGGTATTGCATTGCCTCCTTTGACAAAGTGGCCTTACCAAAATGGTTGGACTTTTAGCGCGTGGTTACGTATGGACCCGTTGAACAGTGTCAATTTTGAGAAGGAACGTCCATTTGTTTACTGGTTCGTTTCCTTCGTTTGACGTTCTTATGCATTGCATCTTCACAATGTTTAATAGTTAAAAAAATCTGCAAACGATTTAATGAAGAAAGAACCGTAAATCATATTTGCCTTTAGCATATATTTTTTATAAAGGATGATCAGTCGCTTTTTTGTTATTTTATTTTTCACCACCTTGATTTCTAGTTTCCGAACAAGTAAAAATTTGGGGTATAGTTGCTACTTTACGGGAAACTGCTTAGTTGTGAGCAGCACTCGGGCTCCTGGAAAAGAAACAGCACGTTGCGTGCGTCATGAGCTGTCGCCGCGAAGGTTTGTTGTAATTGGTTATTTGTTGTTTGTTCGTTTTGACATATTGATATCAATTTTCAGGTGGCACCATGTGGCAGTCAGCCACATTTACTCGAGGTGGTCTAGGAGCGAAATTCAATGCTTTATAGATGGACAGTTAATCGAAACATTTGACTTTACATGGTAATTTTTTTTCAGGCAGCAGTAAGGTAAAAATTCTTTTCAACTTTTTGATTTAATTATTAATTTTAGGTTAGTATCCACTGTTGACCAATTTGATCGGTGTAGCATTGGATGTGGTCCAGACGGAGAAGAGTCTTTTTGCGGCCAGATGGCGGCACTTTATGTGTTTTCTGAAGCTATTACCTTGCAGCAAGCTAATTCTTTGTTTTGCTTGGGTGCTGCCTACCAAAGCAATTTCCGGCACGATGCGGAATCAGATCTTCCTGAAGGATACAAAAGAGTTAGCTGTTTATTCCTTGCCTTTTTTTTATTTTTTTTTGTTGTTAATTGGTGGCCAGTTGAGAATTATTTATATCGCTACGGTACGGTTTTTTTAAGCATTTGTTCGATGGTCGTTTGAGCTCTTCCCTTTTCATTGCCTATTGTCCAAAGAATTGTGATGGACAGCTTTGTTTGCATTCATCACCAAAAACAAATGCTTCATATTTTGTTCAAGTGCCTCATGCTATAATGAAGCAGGTATAAATTAATTGATACTTTTTTTTTACGCGTTGCTTTCATTAGAAGAAGAATGATTGCAGGATTGACAAAGGCTTGTATATCTTAGCTGAGAACTAAATTTATAGATATTTGTTAAAGTGATGCTTTCAAACAAGATTTCAAAATTACTAAATTTTTTAATGGAACTTTGGAGCTTTTCGCTCACTACTTATTTAATTAGCCAGTGAGGTTTTGTTTCCAGATATTTTTCCAAATTGACTGTTGAGTTTTAAATGAGAATACTTCAGAATAAAAAATGAGCTGTTTCTTTGGAGATATCGGAGATAGGTCACCTCAGTAGTTGAAGCATTCAAACCAAATGTTTTTTGAGTTGCAGTGAGGGTTTTTAACAAAAAAAATTTTCGTACAGAATTAAATTTTGTGATCTTCATTGAGTACTGCTTGACTTTAAAAACATAGGTTTAATTGTCATGTTTATCAATCAAATCAGTTAAATTAGCTATTATCATCAAAGGAGGAAGCAAAATGGGTTTTTAAGCATTAAAAATGCTATTAATGTCACTTTTTTTGACTCTTTTAGTTGTGAAAGCTTTAGGGAGTTGAAGTTGTGACAACGCATTCAATACATAGCTCTCTCCATTCTGTAGGTGGTATTCAAATTCTTTTGCCGTTATTTGCTCAACTAGACTTGCCGCTTATGGAGTCGGAAGGTGTAGATTACAATCTCTGGTAAACTTTTTCTTAAATCTCTGTTCATCAGTGAGGGTTTTTAACAAATTTCTGGGAAGACTTAGATCACTTTACTACTTGGAATAAATGAGTATTTGAAAAAGAACGAATATGGTATGCTGTTGCAGTTCAACCTTATTATCAGCAATTTCTCTGCTTCTGCATACCTCGCCAAGTGCTCAACAGCAGCTGCTACACAGCAAGGGATTTCTTATTATTGCTCATATGTTAAACGAGGTCTATTTTTACTTTATCTTACTATTTCTTTTTCACGGTATAGGTGTGTTTATAGAAACTGATTTACTGTCGAAGTTGAAAAAGCATTTTTTTCATAGCTTTGTGTCTTATAATTGGCACTTAAAATTTATTTTTTAAGTCTGATCCGAAGCATCTGACAGACCGTGTATTGGATATCCTAATCAGTATGGCAAAGTTTTTGCTAGCATGTACTTCGGGTATGCCACTTCTGAAACAGTTATTTGATCATATTTTGTTCAACCCTCCGCTGTGGCGCAAATCATCTCCATCAGTAAACTATTCTAATTTGTTTCAACTAGTGCAGCATTTTGCTTTTAAATTGTTTACCTTTTGTTTGTTTAGTCTAGGATCAAAAACAAAATTTAAAATCAAAACGTAGTAAATCTTGCAGATGTTGCAAAAGTCTTAAATTCATTTCTAACTGGTTAATTAATTTAGATGCAGATTCGGCTTTACGAATACTTGTCAAACGAATTTCTTAACAACGCTCATTTCTTGTCGATCTTTCGACGTAATGTGGCGGTGGTTGAAATTCTTCATGCAATTAAGTATTTTTATTGGGTTGTCCCATCTCGATCGCCGTCATCTTATACAACAAAACCATATGATGTGAAAATGGAGAAGTATGTTACGAGCGTTACAGGACACACATTTGCTTTTTTTTGTATACAGCTCTCCTCTGCATTCTTTGTGTTTAAGATCAGATATTGTGACTATTCGAGGCTTTTTGTTACGTCTTTTGTCGCGTCTTGTTATTGCAAGTGATTCAAAGTGTTCAGATGACTCAACATGTGATAATGAGTTCAATTCTATTCTCGACTTTGTAGCAACGGTTTATGAGGTTTGTCTTTAGCTCTGTTTTAGGTTTTTTGTGTGAAATTCATTAAGAATCCTGTTTTCAGGATGATAATTTGTATGACATTCTTTCTCTGACGACTAATTTGCTTTCCGAACGTCCGGCACAACTTGTTCCCGCATTTGACAGAAAGAAAGGGCTGGCAGTTGTTTTCAAGCTTCTAAACTCGCCAAATGAGTTAATCAGAGTCCCGGCGTTAAAAATTTTTGGTTACTTCCTATGTCGGTCTACCTTAAAGTTAGTTCTGGAACTTCAGAATTTTGTAATTATGTGTTTAGAGAAGTATCTTTTACAATGTAGCTTGATTTTAAGGGTTAGGAATTTTTTAAATAAACTATCAAGGTTTTGGTTTCATTTCAGATCTATTTTAGCATCTCTGATGGTGATGAAATTTGCAGGCGTAAGAATGACTCAGTGGGTAACTTGAACGTCTTAACACTGCTAACAGACAGGCTTCTGCTGCATGCCAGTTATCTCAGTTTGGCGACTTATAATGTGCTTTTTGAAATGCTAATAGAACAAATGACACCACTGATTTGCTACACTCCACACGAGAAGTTAACAGGTGAAGAACGCTTTGAGAATCCTATACTGCTGAAGGTTATAGCAAACTTAATATCTCAAAGCGAGAAACGACCAGAACTTCTGAAAGTTGGTTACACTTACATGGCAATTTTAAAAGTGAATTACACTTTCTACCTACAGTCTACTTTAGAAATTTTGAATTATTCAGCATAAGATTCAAAACAAGCTTCTTTTTCTACAGCTATTTCTGAAAATCATTTGTTTAGGTAAAACAGCTTTTTTTGGAGGACATGATATTTATGTGCGAGACCTCAAGAGATAATCGTCGAACTATACTCCAAATGAGCGTTTGGCAAGAGTGGTTAATCTCGCTCGCTTATGTCTTTCCAGTGAATGACGATGAAGCGATGGTCAGCGAGCTCGTTTTTCGACTGTTTGCGAAACTTCTCTTTCATGCTATAAGGCTTGAATATGGTGGATGGAGAGTGTGGGTCGATACTTTGGCTATTGCACATTCAAAGGTAATGCTGCTGATTCATAGTTCAATAAAATCACTGTTAGGAGTGGTTTTTACCTCTAAAAATACGGAAATTTTTATATATTTTAAATTACGTATTCTTAGGTTGCCTGGGAACGTTATCGTGCATCTATTAATGGGGCCGCTGATAGCCGTAACCGTGATTCTGTTGAAGAGATTTTACATGATGTGATTTCAGCCGTTGTACGAAATATTGTAAGTTTGGTAATAAAATGCATGCTTCTTTGTTAATTTATATCAATAATTTATTATTGGATTGCTGAATAGGATGGAAAATCAGATGGATTGGAACGAAGAGTCATTTGTGATGACCAGCCACCGCCAATTTACAGGACTCCAGAATTTCGATGGTCAAATGTTCATCTTAGACTTCTTTCTGACCTACTGAATTCTGTTGATGAAGTAGTTAGCGAGTGGAAAAAGTATGCCGTCTTTACAAATTTATTTTAACAAACTACTTAATTAAAACCAATATTTAGTGCTTTTGGGCCATCAGAAATGATTTGTCAGAGAGAATAAAATTTTGTTTAGAAAACACACGCAGAAAGCCTATATTCTTTAAGCAATAATTGAAGAAGCTTACTGTTGAGATTGATAGGAATGAATTTTAGAAAAGTGAAAGAACAAATAAATATTGATGATTAGCAATTAAGAAAAAACTATAAGGACGGACTTTTCTTTATTTAGCTTTTTCAAATAAGAATGAACAAGATCTTTTAAGTTTAGGTATCAGTTCAGAGTCAGCATTTTCGCAAATTCCTATTCGCATTTTGCAATAATATGCTAGTAAATCATCGCTTAAAGTAATTGAAGAATTTATTTTAGAAAAGGAGGATCTTTATTGGATGCGGTTAATAGTTCAGAAAATGCTGTTTTTGTCGCTAATGTTGTGCATGTTTTTTCCCAACTTTCTGATTCGCTTGTTATGGCTTGCGGAGGACTTCTGCCTTTACTGGCTGAAGCTACCTCTACAAATGTAAGATAATACTTCTTCGTTTCGAGTAACCTGTTTATGAATTAAATATTTTGAGATTTATTATTCTACTTTAGAGCGCTATTGACATTGTCGATGCATCTTCTCAAGGGCTTGCTATGAGTGATGCCGCACAACTTTTGGCAACATTTGCTTCGCTAGCTGACATTTTTATATTTATTTCTGGGACTAACTTTGCTGAACTTGAGCAGGAGAAGAATATGCCTAGTGGCGGTATTTTAAGACAAGCTTTGAGACTAGGTGAGCTACTTCTCGTATTTCTGGACAACCTAGTAAAAGTAGTTATTTCTGAACCTTAAACGAGAAGAGAATTTGCTTTTTGCCCTGTGCGTACATATTGTAAATATTTTACTGTTTCAGTATCTACAGTAGCAGTGCGGACAGTCCTCGCTTACCGACATCGTACTGTTGGGAAAAGACAAATTTCAACTGGTGATCTAAAGCAAAGAGCTCGAGCAGAAGCCATTGAACAGTTCGTTAGTGGAGTGTACGCTACAGTACGTTTACTAGCAATTGTAGTTGGCAGACTGTGTATTCTTCTGCTTTCACAAAGTATACCACTTCAGAGTGAACAAAACGGTGTCGACCCGGATAGGCTCCTGCAAGAGATTGATATCCAGCGTCTCAAGGGTGTAGTGTACCGTGATATGGTAATTAAAAAAAGAGAGAAAATTTTTCCTAAACATTACAAATAAGTTTCGTTAAACGAACTATTTAGGAAGAAAATCGTCAAGCGCAATTTTTGGCTTTGGCTGTCACTTACCTTATATCTGTGTTAATGGTGTCCCGATATCGAGATATTTTGGAACCTCCATCTTCCCCTTCACCATTCTTTGATACTTCGAAAGCTGGACATGTTTTTAATTGTGGGGCTTGGAAGTTTATTTTTATCAAAGTGTGACTGTTTAAGACTGCATATGTTTCTTACTTCTCATCTGTTTTTACTAAAATAATCTCATGTCAGCTGTTGATGAAAAATTGAATACTCATGTGGATGTTAAACGAGAGAAACCTATAGCCTCTCAAGAAAGTGATGCCGGGAAGGAAGAAAAGAAAAAGTCGGTTGGCAGTGATGAGGACAGCAGTGCTTTATCTGGCAACATAGCTGCAATCGACGTGAAGCAAAAAAATGAAGGAGTTTTGGATGCTCAGTACGACGAGGACCACTTAAAAACACTAAGTGTGAGGAAATGACTGTCTTTATTGTTGGAAAAATAAGCTTAGTTTTAGGCATTGAAGCTGCATAAATAGTATAAAAATTTTTTAAGGAAAGGACTTTTACATCGAAAACTATTGAGACTGGTGAAAGAAGAGAATATCTGACAAAAAAACTTCAAAAGGCGTTAGATACAACTGCTCCTTTGCTGCGAGAAATAATGACAGATTTTCGTAGCTATCTACAGAAGACGTTGCTTGGCACTCATGGGCAGGAAATAATGAATGATGTGAAAGGTGGATTTTCACTTAAGAATTTATTTACATTGGTATAACACCTTAATAAGTATGCTACCAATAAATAATTTTAAGTTGTGGAGACATTTAAGAACCAGCAGGGATCGGTAATTGAATTGGTGATGCTGCTTTGCTCGCAAGAATGGCAAACTTCTTTACAGAAACATGCAGGGCTAGCTTTTATAGAGCTTGTAAATGAAGGTATTACAGCACTGACGTTGACCCACACAGTCTTGACTTCTAAGCAAAAATGTCTTGAATACGAATTGATAACCCATATTTTAGGCCGTCTGATGGCTCATGCAACGCGGGAGCATGTCTTACGAGTAGCTAATGAAGCTGACTTTATCTTAAACCGATTAGGTGCTGAAGATGTCAGTAAGCATGGGGAATTTGAGGTTTGAAATAAAATTTTTTTTTGGTGATTGATTTTCTATATGTGAAGTAGAAGATAAAAAATTTAAGAGTGATGCTGCTGAGCAAATGCATCGGAGGAAGAAGGAAGAGGCTGTGAACGATCATTTGATCACTGCTAGTCGCCGAAGAGACGTTGCTGTTGCTGTACGTCTCCTTGATAAAATGAAGACTATATTGTTGAGTCCTGGAGGGGCCTGGGCAGATTCCAAACACCAAGAGTATTTCTTACACTTTGCTCTATTTGGTTTAGGTTTTAATTGTGTATTTTATGTTTATTTTTTGTATAACAGGGAGATTTACTGGAAGTTAGATGTTTGGGAGGACGATTCGAGAAGGCGAAAACGCTTTGTTGCTAATCCTTACCTTTGTCGTTATTCTGTGGAGAAATTGAAAACCATTTTGCAAAGTGGCGCGTCAGCAGAAGAAGTATATCGTTCTATTTAATTTTGTAGAACGCTCAAGGGTCGTATACAGTTCGTTCTTATAACCATTTGTTTAGGCTGAAAAAGCTCGTGAAGAATTATTACGTGATTTGGTTGCTAGACGTTTGATATCTCTAGGCTCGTTGAAAACAGGTTCCGCACTCGGAGAACTCGTAGATGAGAGCGATATTGATAAATGGGCTTCTGAACCCGATGCTCCTGTTGACCTTCAGAGAGGTAATTTTCACAACTATAAGTCTTTGAAAAAACTTGTATCTTCTCATTATTTAATTTTTCGTGTTTTACAGTGAATCTATTATTTTGCTGGTTGGATTCAACAGTATTACAATTTTTATTTTTATTTTTTATTTTAGCAGTTTATTTTGCTATGCATTTTGCCCATGATCTTTACTCCTGTTCTTCTTTAAATCTGTCCATTGTGGCCATGTTATGTGTTGAAGTTGAGTTCCACTTGCTTCTCCTTTTATAAAAAATTGTTTCTTATGAAAATTACTTGCTAAAGGTAAAAGTGAAGGAAGATACAAAGGAAAATGTGAAAAAATTTCAAAAAATTCCGGTCTATCGCGAGTTTAAAAATCGGTTTTATGATGTTACGGAGTAACACGTTTCCTGTGTTTTCTATAGTGACAAAAAACTTAAATTTTGTTTTTTGATTTGGTATTTTTTGGTGGTGTGAAATTTTAGTCAAATTTTAATTTAATGCTTTCAATTTGCAACTTCAAATGTGACAGTTAAAACGTCCTTAAATATTTGTTCTTCTTTATTGCTCACTTTCCTATCTCTCTTGATTGTATGCTGAAAAAAGTAGTATTATGAACCTTTCAATATTTGTTGTAAGTGTTGGAACTAGAAACTTGTATGTTTTTACGTTCAATTTTCCTTAAACTTTAATGAAAATGTAGTTCTGCCGAAATGTTATCAGTTTCTTTTAAAATTTAGAAGTTTATTATTCTAATTAGACAGGAGTTTCTTTCATTTTTTTGTGATGGCTTACAGAATATTAGCGTCGAATTTGACTTTCACTACGTTCACATAAGTTGTTCAATATTGTTTTAATCGTTCTAGCGATTTCAGTTTTAAGTCTTTATTCTTTTTTTTTTTTTTAGGAACTTTTACAGTTTTAGATTGCTCCTCTAAGAAGCAATAAGTTCGGCTTTTAAGGTTTTTCCAGGATAATTTTGAATTTCAATACCAGCATTATAAAGAAATTTCTAGGAGAAAACAGCTAAAAAGGTTTCAGCAAATACTGCTAGAAGCATTATTACCATTTTTTTTTTCTTTTTTCTTTTTGTGCTAAAGACTCGTCTCCACTCAGTTAAAACTTCAGAATAAGTTAACCTTGCTGTTAAGTACTGTATCTACTTTAAATACTAGACTTTTTCAACTTTACTTTTAGTCAAATTCTAAAAAATGTATTATTAGAAAGTGCTATATTGAGGGCTTTGTATGTAGTCCTATTTCTTCATGCTTCTACGATAATTTATTCTGAATCTGAAATCGATTAGATGGAAGTTATTTTGTAGTTTTCCATTGTTGTTAACTGAACATTCCTTGGCAAAACTGGTAGCAGTGTATCACCCTTTCGGAAAAATAAAAAAAGAAAGAAAATATTAATGTGGCAGTGAAAATCGGTCTTTTTCATTAGAGGAGCGACATGAAAGATGCATTCATGAAGATTTAGTGGAAAAAAGAAATTTTATGAAAAGACAGATAATTTTCCAGAAATCTCTTTTTTTTTTTTTTCCTGCATTACGTTATAAGGTTATGCTTTAATCAATCAAACAT